AACATTTCCTTTTTAAAATGGGACATGAATCCATCAAATTGCAATTCAAGACCAATTCCAATTATGTATGGAACATGTAAAACAATAATTGTTCAATTCAATAAGGTTTAGCTCCTCAGGCACGTAAATATTATTAACATATGCCTACATGCCAAAAAGAAGTATAGGTAACATGAGGGAAATAAAAACAAAACACACACCTTTATTTTCTTTCTCACACTAGAATGTTTTATCCTCTAGTGCCTCCCACACTTATTTCCCATGAATATCTGTGTATCTCATATGTTTTCCTCTCAATTCCTTTTTCCTTATTTTCAAATTATAATTATCTGCTGTGATGGGCTCAGCCGTGGGTTACGTGATAACACTGAGTTAACATGGCACCTTTCTGGGAATCACAGCTATATTTTCTCAAAACAACTGGGATATAGATCAGACATATGTTGATGGAAAAATTAAAATCAATAGTGTTCTGGAAAATCTTGGTCGAGACTATGGAGAGATTTTCTTAGAGAGAGTGCCCCTGACTGTGCTGTGTAGTCCAAACTACAAATCGCACGGCGACAATCCCCTCAGGGTGGGTGGGAGCGGAGGCCTGGCCTCCCAAGGTCAGCGGAGGACATGCTGGAGCGTCGGGTGGCCTGGCGGAGCTGTGCACATAACATATCAAGTTGTACTGTGCAGGCGGCCAGAGGTTTTGCAAATGACTTGCAAGGAACAATCCTTATGCTTTTTCACAGCATAGAGAAGAAATGTGGAGAATGGAAAACCACTGGAACAGTCACTGGGAGATTCAGGAGTTAGTTTATGGCTCAGTCGCTAAATTGCTGCAAGATCTTGAAAGAGCCTCATAAGCTTCTCTGAGCCTCAGTTTTGTCACATGTATAATAAAAATATTTGGACAAGTCAGGGATGGCAAACGCATGCCGTGACACTGAGCCTCCGCCACCCTATCCCCATCCCAGCCTCTGCACATTGACCAGGTCACATTTTTCTCAGATATGGCTTCGTATGCTTCCAAACACGGCATTCCACGCAGGCACGGCCAATACGTCAGTGTTGGCACTCAAAATGAAATTGATCTGCCATTCTATCAATATCCAACGATCATACTGCTTCAAACAGTAGGAGACTGTGAATCTGGTAGTGATTCTTTGGTTTGGTAAGTATTTTTTCCCAGAAAAGTGCACTTACTAATAACTCAACTTCTAACATCTAGCACAAGATCTAGCTCATAAAATATTAGTAGAATCATTAAATAAATAAATAAATATCTAACTAAATCTGAGAGCTTACATGAGTATGTTGCATGTATTATCTTGAATTTTACAATGATTTTTTGAGGCATGTACTTTTTTAATTCTTATTTTAGTAATGGGAATAAACCAAAATTTATAGAGGTTAAGAAATATATATGATATATACACATATATACAAACATATACACATATATGTACACACATACACCCACATTTATAAGTAAAATATATATGTATATAAAAATATATAAGTAATCTGCAGATATAGAGCTCAAGTTTCATTCTGTCTGAATGCATGGCCACATTCTTGACCAAATCTGACTCCAAATCCTTGTGAAAAAGGGCTTGCACCCCAAAATGCTGTGCCCCATTAACCAAAAGAAAAAAATTATAATTAAATAAAATATTCAAGATTATTTGGTTGCAAACATCAGAATTTTGTTCTGATTAAATTAAGTCAAATAAAGATACACAAGCACGCACACACTCTCACACATACACACATATATAAAGAGAGAGAGAGAGAGACACTTGGTATACTCATCAATAATACCTTCAGAAATCCGCTCTGGGAATAACTCAGGATCACTGCTCTCAGGTTCTTAGGGGAGAACTTTGGTCACATCGTGAGCCTGAGGATTAAGAAAGTCTTCTGTGACCACATGAAGTGGGGAAGGATGGTTCCCACAGGGAGAGTTAGGCTCCCCACCGAAGGGAAAAATAAAAGGTTTTAAAAGGCAAATGTGCTTCCATTCAGCCCCAGTGCCTGAGCCTTCTGATTCCAGTTTAAAATTCCTGAGCCTTCATTTCTGCCCCTGGGAGGAAATGATCTTTTAAATAGATGCCAATGGGGAGGCTGCATTCGTCTGGATCTTCAGAGAAGCTGAGTTCAAGATGCAATGAAAGGTACAAAGATTTTATTGGGGAAAATGGCTGGGAGAGAAAATGGTGAGAGCCCTGGGAGAACAACCGGGCTGGGAAGCAAGTCTGCCGTGCAGAGACCGAGAGAGGGCAGGAACGTGGTGGAAGCATCTAGACTGCCACGCACTCTAAGGAAGGTTCAGAAGGCCATCAAGGAATCCTTCGGTCCACAGACCTCAGAAAAGCTCATGTCTCCCAGGAACGGGCCAGCCTGAGCATTCCTGCCACCCCACTCACGGGCCGGGAGCGGCCTGGGCAGGCGTGGCTGCAGCGCTGCAGGGGGGCAGGCGGCAGCTTGGCCACTCTCGCTGTCTGTGGCTGCAGCTCTGTGACGTGAATTACCATGGCAACCGCAGGTGCCCCGATGTCAATGACATCTCTGCCTTTAAAACTGCCCAAGATTTGTTAAGCAATTGGTTTACAGCACGGGCCAAATAGGTACCCATGTCAGACACCAGTGAGGAAAATCTGAATACGCATGATTTCAACAGACTGGGCTCGGAGGGTCTCTGCCTCAAACAGCTTGCTGCAAGTTCTGGCCTGAACTTTGCAAACTGGACTGAAACAATCACCAAAGTCGGGGGCCGAGAACAAACCTGTCTTCAGAATCCTGCTCTTAACTACTCCAATGGACTGCTCCTGCCCCCCTCCCCCCTCTGCCAATGCTACCTTGCTAGTCATTTAGGATAACACAGTTTTGACAAAACCCATGGAGATCATCAACTCTGATCCCAACCCATGGAGATCACCAACTCTGAACTCCGTTTCTCATGGAGAAATCATGGATTGCTCCATCTTAGTAACGGAAAGAATAACAGCAGGCTCACAATTTGTGGATTCAGACAAGTTAAATCATTTCAACAATATGATCTTGCTAAAGGAAAGAGTTTCCCAGACTGTGGATTTAGACCAGTATTTTAAAAAATGAAATGAAAGAGAATAGAAAAGAAACACCAAAAGATATTACACATAGTAAGGTAAATTGTGTGTGTGTGTGTGTGTGTGTGTGTGTGTGTGTGTGTGTGTTTGTGCTGGATTCAGAAATTATTTAACTGAGGGTTGCAGTTTAAAGAAAAGCAAAACCAAAATTTGGAAGTGCCTGTTCAAGGAGCTACGAAATCCTTCCATTAAGAAGAGTTAAGTCTCTCGCTGCCTATGGGTCATTAGCAATAACCGCCGGCACTGAACTCTCAGCGTGTTTTAAGTAGGGAAGCTTGGAGTTTCATCTGAGCCAGACAGATTATACTCAGTCCTGAGGCTGCCACTTAGCCTGTCTATAAGAAGGTAATATGGTAGGACGTGGAGTCTTGAACATGAACCCTTGGGAAATCCCAGGATTAATACCGTAGGTGACTTCATTAGCCATCTTGCTCTCCAGCAAGACCCCTGAAAGACATTCATCCTCACTGCATCACTTGGCACTGGAGAAAGCAGCTAAAAGCGCCAAGCTCTCAGCTAGTTCCCACTCTTTCATTTAATATTCCTTTTCCTGCCTGCTTAGTGCGCTAGCCTGACATTTTTCTTTGTTCTTATGGGCATATATCTAGCTTCCTCCCACAGATCTCTTGCATGGCAAGAACGGTACACACTCTAAACATTATTCTTCACCCACAGATGTCAAAACGCATGAGCATGCAGCGTGTGCTGGCGTGTGGGTGGCGGGGAAGGAAAGAGCCGAGGCAGTCATAGAAATACCAGTTTCTCTGGTGCAATCATACGTGGCCTTGGGACTGCAAAGGGGCCATAATCACAAGACACCTCCTGGTTCAGCCATAGGGCCAGTGGACGGCACGCCCTGTGGCCAGCGCTCGGCGTGAGCTGCGGTGGGAAGTACAGCCTTTACACCCCAGGAACTTGCAATTCGGGGGAGCAACGAGGCAAATAGGTGTGATAAAAATAGAGCACTTCAGAGTATAAGATAAAGAGAATTACTTTTCAAAATATTTTCTAGGTGCAAATTATATTTTATCTTATATTTTATCCTAGATTCACAAGAATAAATGCTATAAACTTATAAAATGTTTTATTATGTATGTTTCCTTTAAGCTTATTGAGATATGTGGGTTTGGGATAATACATTTTTATTTATAATTTTTGTTTCAGTCCTGCTTGAAGATGGAGAATGTGAACCAAACAAGACTAACAGACAATAACAGTTCATTTCTCATTAACGTTTTCCTTGGAAGACAAAAGCATGGACAGTAGTAGAAATGGAACCGGGAGGTAGTTATTCCAGATAAGGCACACAGTACAAACAGCTGCTGGGGGTTAGGGATGAAAATGAAGGAGTGTTCGTTGATTTTTCCCAATCCTTTAAGCAAAGCCTCAGTTGCAATCTTTTCTCTTCAATCGCTGAGAAATATTATAAAATCTGAAGTTGTCTTCAGTCCTGTTTATTTTAACAATGTGTGATGGAAAAAAAATCACTATCATCAAAAGCTATAATATCCAAAATTTAAATAATGCTTTTGGTTAGACTGCATCCCCCAAGAATATCATGTGGTAAGTTATACAGGCTGTAGCATAGGCTAAAAGACGTACTCAAGTTTTCTTGGCCAGTTCTTGAGGATGTAATACTAATACTTAGGTTTTGATTAAATTCAACAGATAAAATTTGATGAAATGAAATTTAATCATCTTTCCAGAAGGAATAGATGAACTTACAGTTTAGTGTTACAATTGCATGTATCCTACTTTTCAACAATAAATAGTTTCCACAGATCTTCAGAAATGCAAACTGCTTGAATCTGCAAAGAAATCTATTAATAATATGAATAGCTAATACCATCATCTGACCCTGGATTTACGAATTTCCTCTAGGTAACACTCCACAACCAGATACATCGCCTTCTAGAGCCAGCACACTCCCCTCAATATCAACTATAAGTACAGAGAGCATCTTGCAGTCTCAAGGTACGATTTCCATGGGCCTAAGTGGGAACTTGTTCCACTTGCCCCTTCCTCACCAAGAAAAGCTCCACCAGTTTTGATTCACAAAACAAAGCTCTCTCACAATGAGATAGACTTTTTTGTACTTGCAGTATCATACCTAGAAATCATAGGTGCTTCCTTAGATAAGGGTGGAGGGAAGATTGTGAAGATTGGCACACATTAAGGTGACTTTTTTTTTCTTTCTTAAAATAATAGGCACTGAAGGTGGAAAAAACGCAAGCTCTGCATCAACCAGCCCCTCTTATTCCAGTAAGTAACAGACATGTCTTCATACGTGGCAGTAGACATGCAGGATGTTTGAACGTGACCAGTGAAGGGAAGGGAGTAGATTATGGGCAGCGTTTTCTGCACTTTACTGAATTTGCAACCCCATTATAATCCTATTTAACTGCTGCCTGCTTTGAGAATGTTCTACAAGTAAGTATGGTCTTAATGACCACAGATAAAAAGCAAACCTTGGTGATTTTTTTCTTATCTTAGTGCTTAGCGATTACCGCCAAGGGCCAAGTATGACTCGATAGCACAGGTTTCAGATAAGCCAGAGTGCGCAGGCCAAGATCCTTATAAAAATGAATTTCTCCCAAATCATCATGCTGTATACCTTGAATATGTTCCATCTCTATTTGTCAATTAAATATTTTTAATAAAAAATAATCAACAAATAAAGTAAATGATACTAAAAAATGATTTTTTGCCTTGACACAATTTTATCTTAACATTAAAAAATAGTCTTTAAGAAATGTTCCATTTAGATAAAACATATACATGTCATATAACATATGTATGCTAAGAATGAACACAGAATTTTCAATAATTTCCTTAGAAATGAAGAATAAGATGAATATATATGGAGCAGGAATCATAAAGGACTACCTTTGGTTTATGTAAAGCCACTCTGTTAAATAAGTCAGCATAGAAATTATTGACCTGCTGAATCATGGCATATTCATTTTGGGAGATAATAATGACCTCACTCAAGATCTATTATGAAATCAGCAGAACTTTTTAAAAACAAATATTTAACCCTGACAGTAGAAGTATAAACCACCCTACAAATAAATTAGAGACCTATTCCCACCCCCCAACCCTATGAATATATGAGGAGTATGCATCTAAGCAAGCAGATGAGACTATGTAACTAAATAGCAACTTTAACTCTAGCTGGGCCCTCAGGGCAGCCTGCTTGCTTTCATCACTAGGGTTTTAACCTGGGAAATGACCGTTAGAACAGAAGGCAGATGCTAGAAAAACCAGCAGAAACCCTCCTCTTAATAAAAGCATGCTAAGTTAGTACAGCAACATCACTCCCCAAACACACACACACACCCCTCGCCTGAACCATGTTTTTCGTTTTTAAGAATCATAACCACTGTAAGATCCACATCTTTTATGCCTTTCCTAGTTTTAAGATATTATCATAGAGAGATATTTGTGAGTTTTTTAGAAAGCTAGCACTGAGACTAGAGCAGTCCCAAATGGGCTATATATTTTTTTCCAGTAACTTCATTATGAAGTCCTAAGGCATATAAAGTGTGAATGCGGGTTTCATTATAATCTAGAGGACACCTTCTGGCCCTCCAGTCTCCCAACCTCCTCACTCCTCTAGTCTCCAGGAAGATGGAGGAACTCTCTCAGGTTTGGAATTTTGTTTCAGAAAGGTTACAAGACTGACATCAAGTGGATGACACCAGAAATGACAACTAGAGCAAAACCCATGAGTCAGATAAACCTCTGCCTAAAATACAATGTTTTCAATAGAATGATGTTTAAAGACGAAAGAAAGCATGCATGCTTTGCTCACTTAGTAAACTATCTATGTGAAACTCAACAGCCACCGTCATTGACAACGTCTCCAATACTTTTGCAGGTATTATTTTGCCGGTGGTTATTGCTCTGATTGTAATAACACTTTCAGTATTTGCTCTGGTGGGTTTGTATCGGATGTGCTGGAAGACAGACCCAGGTAGGTAACAGTGTTTTGTTTTGTTTTCCTGAAAGGAAAATGAACATATGCTCAGTTTAAACTTGACTTTAAGCTCTTAACCGAGAGCAGAGTTACAGAGAAAAATAAAATGCTGTATTTCCTGATCACAGAAACAGAGGAGCAGAGTAATCCACTGAATACAGCTGAATGCAAGGAGTAGGGGTGAACCACTATTAGTAGATATTATCAAATATGGGCACATCGTTTTTAATAAAATAGCCCAAGTGTTGTGGGTGGGTGGGGAAATGTGGTAGTATAAAACGGCATGCCTCATCTTAGTGAAGATTTATCTCGTATCCATACAACAGAGTAATGGGGGGCTTGCTAAGAGTTCAGTTCAGGGGCCCATAATTTCAGGAGATGTTCTGTGACCCGCTTCCCTCCTGGGAGGCACGGCTTCCTACCAGTGGAGGTGTCTTCCGTGACTGCGGTATATTTTTATTCTTTTTTGAAATAAGCTTTCTATTTTAAAATAGATTTCGATTTACAGAAAAGTTGCAAAGATGGTGCAGGGAGTTCCCATAAATGCCACATCTAGTTTTCCCTTACTCTTAATATCTTAAGTTAGTATGGTATATTTGTCACAATAAATGAGCCAATATTGATAAATCATTATTAACTAATTCCCCTACTGTATTCATATTTCTTTCAGTCTTTTTTCTACTCCAGAAACTTTGGACTCTTTTTACTCAGCGCTGTGCCTGAATCCCCCTTTAGCTTCCCTGGCCCAGCTGCTCCTATGTCATCTTAACTCCAGTCTCTCTTTCCAGGGCAGCCCCCAGCATGGTGGGGTCGTGTAGTGTCCTATCTCCACGCCCTCACCCACACTATTCCTTCTCCTGCATGTCCAGCCCCCCTCTGAGCCTTTACAATGTACCTAATCTCCAACTTATCCATTAAGATCCAGCTCAAACAGCAATTGACTACATGTTTTTATAATAGATCACTTCTTCAAACACAACGGATACTTCCTTTAATTTTAATTCTGCAGAATTTGATGATACCACTGACCACACTATAGTATGGTCATTTCTTTATGCGTCTCCTTGCCTGAAAGTTGTGCAGGGCCCCTAAGCCACAAACCACACACTGCTCACATTGCATTGTGCCCATAGGTAGCAGACCTTTATCACATGCTGGTTGAGTTCATTTTTCTAATGTTGAGTAAAACAGTGTCTTCCCTTTCCCCACTGTGATTCTAAGTAGTTCACTAACAAAACTCTACCTAAGTTTCATAAACTAGTAAAAGGTAAAAAGCTATTATTTTCATGAGGCGTATAAGCCGCAGTATTCTGTGTTCCCCGTGGACGTGTGCCCCAGGACACTAAAGAATGCGTCCCACAGCCAGCCGCTCCCCAAGGACGGCAGGGACAGTTTGACACATGATCAGGCAGCACTAGGGAAAGTCAGGAGACCAAAACGGCAGTGTTTATTTTAGCCCTTGGTAGAAAATAAGAAGAAAACAAATCAATGTCTTTTCCTTTGGGAGTGAGTGAATAAACTTCTTAATAATGTCTAAAATATGCTTCCTTACCAGTTTTCAGAGGGGAAATGGCATTTTTATATAATTTCCCCAAGTTTCTAAACTATCAATCCTGTCTTTTATGGGAAATTAGCCATCCAAGTTGAAGCCTGTGGGTGTTGCATATATAGCAGAGGTAAAAATTAGTGCACTGAATTGTTTGTAAAAATATCCTGCACTGAAACGTTGCTTTGCATAGGAAAGATTTGAAAATACATTAATCGAAAAGTTGACATTTTCCATTAAAGAAGACTCTCAGATGTATAAAATTCCTACCACTCTTGAGAGTTATCCTGAAGATTATATAGTACTTTAAAACCAAGTCTGGGAAGTGTACAATTAACCAAATCTATCTGGTTACTGTTAACTTGAATTTGCAGAATTTGTTAATAGAATTTACAATATTGTTATCATTAAATTAGCACGATTAAACACCCGCAGTTAATCGTTCTTCAAGTATGTGGATGAGACTTCATTATGTTCAGAAAATTAGTAAACTCTCTGTGCTTGCTGGAAGACAACTCAAGTCAAAGCTTTTAGTATGAAATTAGACTTATCTGGGCAAGGTCAACAACAAACAGGCTTAGCTTTAAGCAAATAAGAAGCGTATGTATTCAGAAAGTAGTCTGCTGGCATGCAACTATCTGCTAATGTACCCATCATGAGGACAACATATTAAAACAGGCATAAAACAATATTAATTCATTCTGAAACAGGGCTATGAGCATCATGGGTGATGCTATACCTGACACTTATAGGAATTAAAAAATGCTGTTAAAATCCCACTGATGGAGAGAAGAGGAGGTTCAATCTCATTGGTGAGCAGCCGATGGTGCCATGGATTAAAGCCTAGGGATCAAAAGTTATGATGTGACACCTTAGCCAAGGTGACAGAAATAGAAGCCAGCAAAATATTAGTGGAAGTCCAGGTCTTTATAAAACAACGATGATCAAAGCCAGGAGAATTATATCCAAAAGCCGTGTTCAATGGCAAGAACTCAATGAGACACAAAAGGAAATCTGAACAACAGGAGCTGAGCAGCAATGGAATAAAACCAGAGCAAAACAAGGGGGCCTTAAACGATCACATTAACCAGTTGTCCTGTCGGCCACAGACTAATGCCAGGTCTGACCACCGACATCCCCTCTGGAGAGGCCACACCCTCGTGCAGAACTAGTGACTCTGAGTTCGAGCTCTAAATCCGAGGTGTCTCCTACCAGACATCTGCAAAGCAGCGTCACAGAGCCCAGAAGACCAGCGACAGCACGTGGCCGAGCGACATGTGCAGGGCTCCTTTGGGAGGCTGCGTCAGTGAGCGGCAGGTGCCATTAGAAACAGTGTCTGCACTGCACCTCGCCACAAATAGTGATTTTCTGTCCCAAGAAAGAGCACTGTATAAAGGCAACTAGAAAACTCAGTTCTTTGGTATAAAAAATGGAATTCAATACTTTGAAGAGGATTTTTTCCAGAGATCTTGAAATGAACTGAGACATTCTCTGATATCTGTGGGGTGAGCAATGACAGCAGTTTCACACAGTGATATGAAACTGTAAGATCAAACTTAGTCTAAACCAAGTTCAGTGGAGCTGATGTAATTAGGACTGTCCCATGAATGTCAGGATGAGTGTTAGCCACAGCGGAGGAAACGGTCGGGGGGATGGGGAATAAAACAATTTAAAATTGGCTTTAGAAACATCTCTGCACAGAGAACAGAAGGGATCTCAGGTTTTCGGCAGCCAAGCTCCTTACAACCCTAATAACCACTCTCTCTTCTAGGCACGCCGGAAAATGGAAATGATCAGTAAGTAAGGCCACAGCATTTTTTTTCTAGAAGCTCTGATTACATAGGGAAAATTATTGATCCTCTACTCATACCATTTTTCTTTTTTTCTAAAGAGATTTATGTAGAATGTACTACATATTGGCTTTGGCTAACTGTTTTTCAAAGCTCTCGCTATTTAACAGAGAAATCTCAACAACTAAAAATGACTGCCTAAGCTAAAATAAAGTGGTAAAATGGGAAATACAAAGATTGAATGGAAAAGTAGAAGAATGGGTATAACCATGAGGGAAAATATCATAGAAAACATACCTAGAGTTTTAAAATAGTTTTCCCAGTGGAATTTTTGGTATGTTTATCACAGGGAAAAATTTATGCCCATACCTTGAGCTGGGTCTGAGAACTCTGACCTAACAGTGTGCTGTTGTGGTTATGCCACTTTGACTTGATTAAAACACAGAAATTGCTAGTAACCAGACAACTGTCACACCCAGGGTGCGACAAAGGGACATAATGAATTGTTTCCATGCCAAAAATAAATCCGTGGCTAAGTTTTCCTGAATTTGTAGGGTTTTTGTGTCTTATCAGGTTGTAAACATTAGAAATAATATCCTTAGATTACCTAACCATCTGAATTAGAAGTGGAGGCTTTTAAGATCTCTAAGGTAAAGAGTTAGGGTTTGTAACTGTTTGGCATAGGTGGGGACTCTCGGTTAAAATAGTCACGTTAGTCACTGTACTGCAGTATCTCGGGACTTCATGAAAAAGAGAATCTCTAGAACTCAGCATCAGCCCAAAAGGTTTGGAAATATTTCCGTATCCTCCCCTTCATAAATCTGATTGGAAACATGTGCAATGTGGACCTTGTAACAAGTGCTTCACATGACACATATTAATTTTTTAGTTATCTGGTGATCACCACTATCACAGACTGACAGGGATTTATTGGCTTGATTCCAGAAAAAATGGAAAATGCTAAAACGTGCATGTGTATTTGTATGTGAAGAGACAAAGGTTTTACCATAGAAACACATAAAAATACATATGTGTGTGTACCTTCTTCATTCTGTTTGTGTCACATGTACTTTCGTTCACAGACATACACTGCTCAATTCTGCAGTGCTAACTTACTGTTTTCTGTTTCAAATAGACCTCAGTCCGATAAGGAGAGTGTGAAGCTTCTCACTGTTAAGACAATTTCTCATGAGTCTGGTAAGTTCCTGGATGGTTGGCTGAGAAGTGCTTATTTCAGAATCTAACTGTAGCCTTGGATTTGTTCATGTGACACATAACCAAAAGGCATAACTTCTTTAGAGATCGTCAATTAGTAACTCTCAATAAATGCAAAATTTTCTTATGAGCCCCAGAAATACCATTTTTGATAAGATTATTGTACCATCTAGCCTTTAGAGGTGGTTTTCCTACAGATGTGTAGTCGTGTTCTAATGAGCGGGTGGTGGCTGGGGACATTTCCTATTCTGCAAGAGTGGCAGAAGAAGCACTAAGTTTGTTAATGGGTTTATTATTATTATTATTGCAGTTAATTTGTTTCAGTTTGGGTAATGGCTGTGTATAGTCAGCTGGAACCAGGATATATTTATCAGTCAAAATGTAAATCATGTTTTATATCATCACACATAACTTTGAGCTTCCCAACAATATCCTATTGGTAAAATTTGTATTTCTTTATCCAGTTTCTTAGGGTATATTCATTTGATTTGACATGTTAAAGTCTTTCAAAACATACGTATGATTTGTATGAGTTGTATTTGTATCAAGAACAATGAAACATGAGATGCTAAGTAGATTTTAAAAATACAAAACCACAGATATTTTGTTGTTTTGAGTAGACTAGATATTTAAAAGACTGATATCACAAAACAGATAAATTAAAAGTATTAGTTTTACAAAATAATGTATGTGGCTCTAATTTAAATATCAAGTTACAGTAATACATTCACAATATTCAATCCTCTAACTTTTATTTATGCAAAATAGTCCAAGAATACATGTGTTATATAAAGTGAGAGCTACAGAAAGATAAACTGCATTTTAAGTATTTCTGGTAGCTAAAAACAATTTTGTAAAACAGAAAGCTATAAATATTGGCTCAAATCAAGAGTAAGATATTAAAAGTTTAATGTGGCTCCAATTTCATGTATGAAATTCAAACTAAAACAAACTACAACAGGCAAACAGAAGAGCCGAAGAGTCAGGGGACCCCAAGCCTGCACAGATGTGCCCAGACCCCTCGCGTGAGTCTCTTCTCCTAGAGAGAGATCCTTCATTCCATGCCCCTTCCACTTCTTGCTGCACGCATTTCCTCCATTCCCACACCAGTCTTTCTCTCAGGAGTAACCATCGGAAATGAGCAAACCATCTGAAGGATGGTAACCAGTAACCAGTAACCAGTAACCAACCATCTGAAGGAGCAAAATTCATTCATAGAACAGTCAAGAAGCCACCCACAGGTCCCTCCTGGCTTTTCACCAGCACTGACTAAGTAACCACGCCTATTTCACCGGGTCAGAGAAAAGTGCGGGAGATCGGCCACGCAGGCTAGATGTGAGCTGGTCTCCAGTAGGCTCATGGGAGCCCTGAGCGTGGCTTGCACCATTTATCAAGAAAGGTTTTCAGTCTCTGCCTGTGACTTCAAACAGGCGTCACAGTAATCCCACGCGTCCTCCCTCACTCCCTCAGGACTCAACTGAGCGCTCTGCAGCCCCTGGGCTCTGCGGGCTGTGGGCTGGTGGCAGCCAGCACTGCATGGGGCAGCCACTGCATGGGGTCCTGGCGCCCCAGTGAGGAGGGTGCTGGCTTCAGGACACCTGCAGTTCTGCCCCTGTTCCTGCCAGGGCAGCGACAGCCGACACCAGGACCACGGCCTCTGGGAGGGAAAAGCTCTGGAAAATATTTTGGTTTTCTGGTTGCAAATTTAATAGCAGACCCTTCTTTAAGGCCCAGAGAAAATTCTACACAGGCCCTCTTCCACTCTCACGCTGACCACAGTGGGAAGTGGGACAGACCACGGAGGGGTGGTCAAGTAGACCCGTAACCTCCCAAGCTTCCGTCTCTTCATAAGTAACTTGTCAGTCCATGGTCTAGGAAGGAGATATTATCTATTATCTTGGAAATAACAAGATGTATTCTCCGGTACTTTTATTTCTACCAACTTCAATTTAGGAATCATATTGTTTTTAACAAAATAACTTCTCTAAGGTCAACCCAGATGATTACCCTGGAAAACATTTGGTGACAGAGCAAGACTGAAATTGGTGATTCAGAGTAGATTTCAATACCCAGAATTTATACTCTAGAACATAACGATCTCCAAGTGCCCCCTCACTACCACAGGTTTATTAAAGTCTATCATTATAGGAGTCGATGGCTCCTAAAACACTGGCCAACAATAATCTTCCCACCGCCTTTCTAAACGTATTCAAATATGTTTCCTTTACAAAACTGTGCTTACCCCACTCCAGAGAAGTTATATTATTCAACTAATTTTTACTGATATTTGCCCAATACTGATATATTTCCTAATATATAACTAGAACAAAGCCTGAAATGATTAAGTTTAATATAAGTTAACAAGTTTAGCCCAATGTTTCTACCATCACCTATTAAAAATTTTTAGAAATGTTAAAAATACAGAAAAGAGTTTGATAGAACAGATATCAGACTATCCATTAGTCAAAATTAATAATTGTGATAATTTATTAATATTTCATTTGTTTCAAGGCCTAAGAAATAATAGCATTAGTTAATGTGCATAAGTGGGTAACACAATGAAATATGGCCATAAAAATTCTTTGAAGTTGTCATTACTTCAATATAGAAACTCTGGGCTTTTAACACAAAATAAATTGTGTAATTGTAGAAGCCAATAAATAATATTTCCAAGGAAACAGACCTCTGCGGCAACATACCTTAAGGGAAAATGGCAGCGGATGCCAAATTTCCTGAGTTTCTAGAGCCTTGATGAGCCACGGTTGGAGTTCTGGTCACTTTCTCCCGAGAAGACAGTTCCTTGTCCCCAACCTCCTCTGGTTAGGTGCCTAGCGTGGAGGGTGTGCGTCCCATCCACACTCTCTGCTTCCTTTACATGTGCTCTCCCTCAAGCAAGGTCTTCGGCTGAAAATGTAGCTCAGACACACTTTGGAGCTTTAATGTGAAAGAAAAGGCCCACTAGAGTATAAGAAGATGATTTCAGAATGGAAAGAAATGTGGCAGATCCAGGAGTTCCTTATAAGAACATACAAAGCTCAGCTTCAATAAGAAGTCTTGTCAAATTAAACATCACTATGATTGACTGAAAAATATATGTGTAACCTGATTCATTTTAAATGTGATTCCCACTTATATCACATATCAGAAAGCTAATATGCATTATTTCACTTTTAATATGGTATAAGGTTATAATTATTACAAAAAATACTTTTTAAATTGGTTAAAGAACACATAACCCCACAGCAGAAGGAAAACATTCTGTCATAGAGCTTAGTTTCAAAGCATTAATTGATTTTGAACCATTTAGACGAAGTAAAAGCAGATCTGAGTTCATTACAATATGCCTTTGCTTAGAAAACTCCCATGGAGGTTAAGTCGATCCCCTCAGCCTGTCTGCGAGGCCTTCCCTGGTGAGTCAGTCTTCTCTGGCTCTTAATAACGCGCGTTTCCCAGACTCCATTCGTACCGTCCCCTGTCTTCCTCGATGAGCTCAAGCAGCTCTTTTGGAGGAGACAGTCCCTTCTTTCCTTTGTAACTCCCACTCCCTGTCCTATGGGAATCACACATTATTCATATATGATTAGCATACTAATGCTAATTAGTATATTATGGTGATTACTCATTAAGTGCATAGTCACTTTTCTTGCTTATTTATTTTTACACATAAAAGTTCATTAACAAAACAATGAACAAAAGGGTAAAAATGAGCAAAGCATTCCCAGATATGTAAAACCCGACCCAGATTCAGCTTCCGTCTCCTCGACCCTTAGACACCCTTGGGCCATTCTCTGTGTTCCCTCCCTCGACTGTCCAGCTATAAACGGTCTCTCCTTCATCTTAACATATGGTCAATTTGGCAAGTTATCGTATGTCTCTGCCATGTAATATTTCTCCATGGCTCAAACAACCATTTTAACAACCCATGTGTGCAATGAAAAATAGAAAACAATAGAGAATAGAAAATGATTTAAAACTACTCATGAAAAACAATCACTACTGGCATTTGGTACATCTCCTTCCAGATGTTTCTTCCTCAGGTGTGTGTTTTGTTTGCTTCTGCCATAGGTATCATTATGATAACTGTTATTAAAATCACATTATTATTAAGGATTTCTCACATTTTCTATTTTCAATGAGATAGACCTTGAAAAGGGATTTTAAGAATTTTAAAGGTTTTCACGTGATTTGCTTAACATGCCTTTATCCATGCGGATAGCAGGGGTTCAATAAATGTTTATTTGTTTACTCCTCATTCCTGTGCTTCATAGCCGTGGGGTCCAGGCAGGTGCTGTGCCTTTTCCTCGAGAAACAATATGGCACCAAGGTGGCTGTGGGCGGGGCCGTGGGGGCTGCCACACTGGGCCTGCGTTTCTCGGAGCACAGGACTAAGAGCCCCCCCCACCATGGGGAGTTCTGAGTTCACCTCCCTACAGGTCCCTGGCACTATCGATTATTCCGGGATTGTGCAAGTAGCAGGTGACATCCAGAGTCCCCAGAGGACAGGGTTCCTAACCACTGCCAGGTAAAAGCTGGAGCAGAACGATGACATTTATTCTAAAAGCTGGAGATTTTCACCTCTGTTGCTTTTACACAGTGTGACTGGTGTGGATACTCGATTCTACCCGCGGGACACAGGTCATGTGAACTATGTTGGTCACGAATCCAGTGGCTTATAAAAAATGCCTGGGGCCTCCCAGCTTGCCATCATCCTAGGTTAATATTTATCTTTATATGAGGTGGTGGAATAGCGCTGTAATTTTGAGCAATATTACCTGTGCTGCTGGGCATGTCACCAAGGTGTTCATGTTGACCTCTAAATTCATTTTCACAAAACTCTCATTGAATTATTTAAACAGAAGGACCCTAAAATGTCTTCCTGATAAAATGGCACTTTAAATATATGATATGGGTTTGCTTAGTAAAGCCAGCTCATGGAACAAGCAAAAATCGATAACTCATTCCCCAGGGTTTCTCTGTTATTGTCATCTCCAGCTCACCCCCGCTCCTGTAGGGTGAAAACAGGCAATGGCTGGAAAAAGCCCATAAATCTTGGTGAATAATTTCCAGGCAATACCAAGAGGCAGTCTGTGGCTCTAATGACATTCTTGCAGGAGAATTGAACTTTTGAAAAACGGAAAACAAGCCAGGAAACTTTATTTTCATCCTTAGTCACACTCTGAGCTTGTAGATCAAAACATATCTTCTGTTCTCAGGTGAGCACTCTGCACACGGCAAAACCAAGAACTGACAGCTCGGTGAATCCTCCCCACACCTCGGCAATGAATATGTAAGTTTCCTTATTTCACTCACGGAGATACTCATTAATATCTGTCTTGTTCAATTGCTGCAGCTTAGATTATTTTTAAAGCCTTTTACAAGCTAAAAAGTTAATGGCTTGTGTGTCAGTGAAACCGGCATTGTCTATTTGTCTAAAAACAAACTCTAGAAAGAGTTGCCAGAAAAATGAATCTCTTGGTGGTTGTAGATTTGTCCAACTGCCTTGCCTATCTAAGGAATGACACAAATCACTGCTTCTACATGTTGATAAATAGTTCCTTATAAATGCAATCTGCTTTTTTCTGGGTCAGTAAACACACACTAACTAAGGCATACATACACTAACAAAGACTCACAGGATGCAAGTGACAATACTTGCAAATTTTGCAATTGATTGTAGGAAAAGGATACAATACAGAAGCTGCATTAAGGATGAGTATCACAGCCAAAGGCCAGCACAAGGAAAGGGGTGCAGGGAAGCGAGGTGGGAGGTCCACTTGCCCTCCCTCTGTAAGGGCCACACCAGGATGCATTTTCTTTCTGGGTCCAGGAACCACGGACCCGTGGACAGAGCACCTCCAACAAGGTGACCTAAGATGCAGTCTCGGCCAGACTTTCCTATACTCGGCTGATCGATCACACAGGTGTATCCTTGCTGTACAATCAGCAGGGACAGAGCCCTCCGAGGGTCTCATTGTGACCAGATACAAATGATCGATCTCACTTACAATAATTGTTAATCAATAAAAAAATGGAAACTTTTCAAAAGTACATTCCATGTCTTAACCAGGAGTCAGCGCAATTCAGGTTCATTTCTTATTATAGTGAAACAGCTCACGCCAACATCAGGACTGCTCTGGAATGAACCCTCCCAGCTCAACACAGGATTACCTTGTGATTTCCTGGAACCGAGTGAGGAAATGTTCTTCTGACTTTAATTTAATTTTTGTAAGAAGCACTGATTCAGTGCTCTCACAACTGGTGTCCGATGCATTAATGAACCTGCAGAAGAATCTACCCTTTGACAACTGACAATAAAAAAGCAAAACAATTTAATAAATACACACATGCCCAGAATTGGCCTGACCACTATGGTGGTCACTCTGGGTATAGTGTCCAGGTGAGAAGGTCATTGCCATGTCAGTTCACTGGGCCTATGTTCACTGCCCAGCTGCTAATCCAGCGCTGTCACAGACACTCAGCAATTGCTTGTTAAGTCAAAGGTGCCTTTTGTGCTTCTCTGGCCAGTAGCAGAAGACAGAAATAGAGGAGCATTATCCTGACCTACACATCAGGAAGAGAATTTCATCCCTTTCTAGCCACAATTGGGGGTGGATTAAAACGAAAGGAATCTGGTGTCCTGTCCATGCCTTTGCAATGGACATTTCAGGTGCAAAGTCTGGGAAGATGAGCATGGAGATGCAGTCCAGCCCTAGCTGGCATATGGACAGCTTCCTTCCACACTAGCTGTGTTTGCTTTGCAACCCAGTGGCCAGGAAATGGTCATTTTCTAGATTACCAAAATGCTCAAACATTAGGAACTAATTGTCCAACTTAGAGATGGACAGTCTTCTGTTCAGTTGGAGAAAACAGAAGGAAAGAAAAGGTGTGTAGGAGACAAGGCATAGTGCTGACCCAAACCAGCTTAATAGAAGAAAGTATCCTCCAACTCCCATTCCTTTCCATTTCTGTACTTTAAATAATATTCTTAGCCTCTGATTTCATGTCTTTTGATTTTCAGAGGTAAATAACTTTTGTTGCTCTTCTGTGTAATTCTGGAACTACATAGCCATGTTCTGAAAAGTAAAAATCAGAAAGTAATGGGAAAAAACAAATTTGACATCTGTCAATTCTACTATTTGTCTTACTTTTTTCTTTAACATATTTCTATCACTGTACTTTGAATTTAAAAACCAGTCCGTAATTACTTTCTGGGTTGTCAACTAGAAGTTAGATATCAACTTAGAGATTCAGGATAAATAGGAATCCATTTATCAGACCTAGAAGTTTGAGGAAAGAAGTCTTTGAGTATGTATGCAATGGTGAACAGTAATATAGAAATAATCACCTATGTTAAAAATGTCCATCTCAAAATAAGATTCTAGATATATTTAATGTTTCTGCTTCATATGTTTATCATATATTTTGTGCAAAGTATTATATTTAATGTAAATTGGCAGGGCAGATAGGAATTTCAAAATACTTACAAGTTAGGATTCCTGCTCTCCACAAAGCTTTATCTGGTAGGAGCATGAAATCGTGTACAAGAATGGTAACAAACATTTAGAAACAGCTGAAATGTCCAATGCTATGGAAATTATAAAATAAATTATGCTCTGTCCAATGACATTATGCAACTAGTAAAAGTAATTCTCAGAATATTTTTAATAACGTGCAAACATGTCCAAGACATAAAATTAAAAGGGAAAAAAGTCAATTTTGGAATGGAACAGATAGCAACTCTACTGTTTGAGTCCAATCTGGACTGTTGTGGAGGAGAGAGCTGCTGCCTCACCTCCTTCTGTGGCAAGACGCCTGGCAGGCTGAGAACCGAAGGGAGTTTCAGAGCCATGAAGCACCAAAGAGCTGGAAGTCCAGAAGCTTGTCTGAAATCACATCCTGCAGCCCCTCAGCAAGGTGGAACGGGAGACATTTCTATTTCTCTCCCAGGTACCGTTCCCTGGTGTCTGCTTCTCTGAAATCACATCCTGCAGCCCCTCAGCAAGGTGGAACGGGAGACATTTCTATTTCTCTCCCAGGTACCGTTCCCTGGTGTCTGCTTCTCTGAATGCTACTCTGATAACCTACGAGCATCTTTGTGAACTTCCAGAGGAGCTTAACATGTTTTTCAATTATTTTTCTTTTGCTTTAAAATGGAACGACAGGGGCGAAAAGGAAAACATCATGAGTCGAGATTTATGGTTGTCCTTTGGTATCTGCACCAGTTGGTGGGGGAGGTTCCAGAACCTTCACAGATACCAAACTCGGTGGATGCTCAGGCCCTTACATAAAACAGTGTAGGGTTTGCATGTGACCTGCACTCATCCTCCCATGGACTTAAATATTCTCTAGATTACTTAAACTGTCTAATTCAATGTAAATTCTACATGAATAGGTGTTATGCTATATTTTTGTATTTTTTTTTCAAGAAAATATGAGAGTATAAACATTTTGGTTGCATTTTATATCTTTGCTTCTCCCTAAGGTTAGAGGTATGCCCCTCCCCTCCACAATGCTCACCCCATCCCTCAGATGTGAGTCTATCCCCCCAACCCCCAATCCCTGGTGAACACCACCACCATTTGGGCACCATAGTGTTAATCAGCCAGTACCAATTTGATGGCGAGTACATGTGGAGCCCATTCTTCCCATCTTGTGTCACCTCACTTCAGATAATGGGCTTAAGCTCAATCCAGGATAATGTAAGTGGTGCTAGTTCACTGTCATTTCTTAGAATTGAATAATATTCTGTTGTTACACTATATTTTTATTTGCATTACTTTTTAGTGTTGTATATTTAGTTTTTATTATTTTTTTCTGGAATATTTTCAATTCACAGTTGGCTGAATCTGCAGACGCTTAACCCGTGGATACAGAGGGATGATCGCATTTTCTGATCCCACTCTATGGCCCTGAATGGATTTCTTAATAATGCTTTGCACTGGGTTCCACATCCATAAAGCCAGAACAAAATGATCTTTTCTCCTAAGGCCATGATGATTGTCTAAAAAGTGCTGTCAGTATTGTTAAAGAAACCTATTATGAAATTTTGTCATAAAATAATCATTTATTCATTATAAGAATCCCAAATTTACAAAATTTTAGATTGCGAAGGATGTGTTGGCCATTAGGTCCTGCATCATCATTGTTGAAGCCAACACACTGAACCTTAGAGGGATTATTTGGTGTGAAAGAAAGTAAAGACTAATATCGATACAGACAGACAGAGATTGTCAACTAATGAAAAAAAAGCATTAATGAAGCAAGATCCATTTCTTGAGACTATCGTCAATGTGAACTGCATGCTGATGAATTTCCAGTTTGTTCCTGCATAGGTTGCTTCTCTTTGAGAAAATGATTAAAACGATATTAACCATGAGCATTGTCCTATTCACACAAATGCATATGTTTACCTAATTGGACTATGCTGCAAACTTTTGACTCCACTTGGAAACTCACCTACTGAGGAGTATCATTCAGTTGAACAAAAAGTGACTGAGACCTTCCTCTTTGCCGAAGATAGGGCCAGGTTACAGAGGGATGTGATAAATAAGATAGTAGTATGTACAGACAGACAGACAGGGTCCCCTGAAGACGAATGGCAAATTTCTTAGAGGTTGTATTTGAGCTGAGACTTACAGAACAAGGAAAAAAGTGGCCCAAGTGAAGAGAGGAAAGATTTTCTAGGTGCAAGGAGTAGCTCATGCAAAAGCAAAGGATTTTGAAACCATATGGTATATGAAAGAAAGTATAAAAAACTTTAAAAATTGTTATACCAAGCTGATATTGCTACAACATTCCATTAATGTCACTATATTTTTCTAAGAGCCCTATCAGTGTGCAGCTGATCAGATATTTATAGACACCACCCTGGGCCTTCAGTACAGACAGCTGGAGGAGCACTCTGGAGAGAAGAGAGACGCAGGGCACTAGGTCATGGGAGCCTGGTTTCCCGGAACAAACCATAAGGGCTTCACGAGGCCAGAGTGAATCTCTAACTCTGCTCTTTCATGACTGTCATTAGGAAGCCATTTATCATTTTGAGGGACCACCCCTGACCTTGGATACAAAACACACCCAAGAACTGGTCCGATATTTGCAGGCGAGGCCTGGTCTGCAATCACCCGATAATTCGGTGCTCCTTCTGCTGTGGCGCGTGCCGGACCGTCTGCCAGCCACACACGCTCGGCCAAGAAGTCAGAGCTGCCCCGCGCTGCAGTCCTGTCCGTAGCTAAGGCGCGGCAGGGACTCTGGGCCGCCATCCCCAGGCCGGGGCAGCAGCGTCCAACTTTCCCCTGTGTAAGGCGACAATATGGCCATCCCATCAAAGCACCTGCCTCTAGCAACTCTCCCGTGAAAGGGCGGGGTACAGGCTTCCACCACTAGTACCACGTCCCCCGCCACCCCCCATGCCATCCTCTTCCCGGGCTCTGCGGACCACTGGCACTGCCATCGACAGCACACCACCTCCTAACCCCCCCGCCCCGCCCCCCAGGTAGGGCTGACGCCCTTGCCACGTGTAGCACAGAGTCCTTTTTTGTGCCAACACAGAAAGTTGTCTCTGTACTGCAAGCAAGAAAACCCAAAATGCTAAACCAAAAGCCTGGCTATCCTTCCCGTGAGGAAGTGACAAGTTGCCTACCACTCTTCTACCTGATGAGTACATGGCAACAAAGCTTGCAAGTTGCCCATATATTTCTTAACGACTCACATTGTCACCTCCAGCGACAGATCTTAAAGATCTTGAACTATATCCTATTAGTGATGGGGGACAGTTAAGGACTTTAATCAGAAGAGGAGTACGATGAGATTCGTGCTTGATATACACCACATGGGTTGCACGTGGAAGACTAACTCGAAAAATGCAAGGCTGGAGGCAGAGAAGTCGGGGTCTATCGCGATAGTCCATGCAGAGTGGCAAGGGCTTAGACCAGGTCTGCAGCTGCAGTACAGATGGAGGAGAGGAGGCTGAGCCCAATAGAGAAATGTCTGCAAGATAAAAGTCTCAAGAAGAAGCGGTGATCGGTTGCACTCGGGCCGTGGGGAATGAGGAAGGGCAGAACTGCAGGCGACACCCACGCTTCCAGCCTGGTGCCCCGACAGGCCGCAGAGGAGACGGCAGGATGGGGCTGGGGAGGGCGGGGAGCAGGTTGGGACACAACAGAGCGGTTCTCCCTCCAGACTGTTGAGTTCGAAGTGCTGGGTGGAAAATATTCAACTAGTCACTTACATTTGGAATCCCCAGCATCTCTGTTTCCTCTTCACCTTCTTGGAGTCTGAACTTTGTTGTTGTTGTTCACAGGCTTCATCTTCAGCTTCTCTGTCCCAAGGCTGGAAAGGGGGAAAGCTCCTGGGATCCTCCCTGACTGCCAGTCCCGCCGCCAGTCTGCACCAGTCACTGTCCCAATAACGTGATGTCCAGCGGACGTGCCATCCTTCGGCAGAACCAAAAAGAATCCTGGGCCTCTCTAGTCTTTTGAGACTTAAAATGCACATTTCTTCATTTTATAGAGACATTCCTAGGAAAGCGATTTTTACGGGGGGGGGGGGCATTTGGAAGCCGGGAACCCGACAGCCCATGCAGGTGGACTCACTAGAGGCACGCCCTGCCCTGGAGTTTAAAGTTCCCGGGGCTGCCAATTTTTATCCATGAAGATTTTCCTACTTTCTGGGTGTTCTTATATAACTAGTGTCTGTATTTATTGTTTTCCACTATGTTAATGCAGGGAAAATTTGCAAGTATGTTATTAAACATTAGGTTGAAATCTGACCATGCCACTTTGTATATATAGGTATTTTAGTCCTATGTTCATGTGTTACTTTTAATAAATAATTACTGTTCTCAGCACTAAAGATATCATGACATGACTGTGAAAATGGAAATGGTATTGTCTTTCCACAATTGTGAATATTTTTTGAATTGATTATTAGAATATAGGAACTCACTAACAAAAGGCATCTGTAATAAATGAGAAAGGGATAAAAAATTCACATATCAGAGCCTGTTAGGAGGATGGCAATTTGCCATTTTTTTTTTTTTTTTGGTTCTTTCTATTTGTCATCTGCAGTGTGTGACAAGGTTGGAAGGGCATTTGCGACACTTTGTACTACATTCGTTAAGATAATAGGATCAAGATTTTTCATTAATCCATTTGGTTGATACTATCTCGGTGTATTTTTTTAAGTTTCTTTTCCAGCAATCACTGCCAAATCTCTGGTTTGTAGAAAACTAACACTTCATAAATACATAATTACAATATTATTCTTCAGTGTATCACTCTCCTAAAAATACCCTATGATTATAGCTGCCACTCCATCAGGAGCAAATTCTGTCGAGAGCTGACGGAGCCACCTTGACCACTTCCTTGACACACGGGATCAAATGTCAAGTTGCTTGTGGAAAGCTTTGGAGCTAACCGGTTGCCCGTGGCAGCTCTTTAACTTTTATTATTTTCTAAGCTGATTTCAGTGCTAAATTATCATAGCCATCCAAGGGCAGTATGGCAGAGAGGGAGTGGTATATTTAAACTGCCTTTTAAAATTTCTTTCGTTGTAATGTGCTTGACAATTTCCAACTTCAGGGGTTATATAATCATCTTGATTTGAGCTTCCTGATGTTTGGGCTATTTATAATCAAGGACATCAAGCAAGCAGAAGCAAATCTAAATTTCTGACTGGTGTCTCTTCGAGAAAGATGGGGAAGAGGAAAAAAGGAAGGAAAAGGAAGAGCAGAGAGAAAAGGCGGGAGTGTCCACTACATAAGCCTTCCCGTTAGGGATGCAGTGTTCACGTTCAGTTCCAGTCTGGGAGTCTTCAAATGGGAGTCTTCACAGTGAGGGGAACATGCCAAGCAGGAAGCGCTTGTCTTCAGAAGGACCCTGTCCCCACGTCCCTAGAATGCTTTCCTGAGCTCCTCAGCAAAGCCAGTTACACAGAACATATTGCAAAGAAACAAGCTCTTCTGCAATTAAAATGACTACAAGTGACATGTCATTCTGAATCCCAGGAAAACCATTTTCTCTTTCTTTCATGAGCATTGTCAGAAGAGAATTTATAAGAATCAAAAAGAGGAAAAGCTTTTTAACAGTCATAAAAGAACAAAATTTGTTCTAGTTCAAGAATTGCACACAAAGAATATGCACTCATCTAACAACTATAGCATTAAATCTCTAGAAAGGCCAAAGTGATAAGACAATTGAGAAATGTACAGAGCAATCCATGGCGTGTTGTAGCACCCATATCAAAGGTAATGGATGCATTTTCATAAACCCACTTAAACTTCTGTTGAGATAGGATATTTTGTTTTCAAGTCAAAATGATCATTAATCAGATTTTGTTTTAATTATCTGATTTGGATGATCTACTTTTTATGCCTGGCTTATTATAAGCTTTTTATTCCGGCATACAGTTCAAATGTCACTGCGACAAAGGAAAGCTTGTATTTAGATCAAAGTCAAGACTCCCTATGTGTTTTCTGCGTGGCAATGAGAATATAATTTAGGTCTATCAGTAGTGGAAACATAAACAAGAGCTAATTAGCTGGCACTGTTGTCACCCGAGAATACACGGACGCTGCTGCCGACACAGGCTGTGATCAGCCCGCACAGAGAGACGTCTGAATTCTCCTTGCTGTGCTGGAATGTTCTATCACATATGGTTGGCAACTCTGTGTTTCTTGTCTACCTGCCGCATTTAAATTTATGAGGATCAACCAACCTAGGACACAGTCGAAACTTCAACAATGAACATGACTGATTTTGCCTGATTTTTCCCTCTGTTGAGCTCTACTTGTAGTCATTTAAGATTTTATGGGGTTCTGAAAGGAAAACTGGGTATGACCTTTAAAGCTTGTATTTTGAGTGGCCAAGACTCTGAAACTGCTGATTACTGCCCACTATTGAAGATATCCATCATTGTAGCTCATTAAACCTACACTGAAATGAGAATTTGTGGTGGATTATCCACAGACATTTTCCTTAAAATTTCCCCACAAACACAAACAAAACTTCAGGTTCCACTAAATGAGTATACCTTGTCCCTATTCCCAGAGGATTTGTCCTTTGGGCTTGAATGTACCTGTTTTCTGTTGTGGACACTTTTTTAAAGAAAAAACTATTTTGATGAATAATGGAAAAGCCTTCATCTTGCCATCAATATCATATTTCTGAACTCGAAGTCAGAAATTTAGGCAAAGTCAAGGTCACCAAGACTAATCTGAAAGGTTCCAAAGACTTTCTTAAAAGCGTTTTCAAGTCTGATCAAGAATTCTGACATTTAGAAATAAATAAGAAAATATGAATATTTAAAATCATGTTTTCTTTAAAAAAAGAAAAGAAAAGAAAATCTGCCAAAGTGACCACGGGCAATATCATTAGCTAGCTAACACTTTACCCGACACTCACTCTGTGCCAGGCACTGAGCAGAAAACTTCACAGCCAGCACTTCAGTTCATCATCACAATAAGGACGGGCTCAGTGGCTTGGGCCTGTAATCCCAGCACCTTGGAAGGCCGAGGACGGAGGATCACTTGAGGTTAGCAGTTCAAGACCAGCCTGAGCAAGAGTGAGACCCTGTTTCTGCAAAAAAAATAGAAAAAATTAGCAGGGGTGGTGGTCTGTGCTGGGAGTAGGTCCCAGCCACTCGGGAGGCTGAGGCAAGAGGATCACTTAAGGCCGAGAGTTTGAGGTTGCAGTGAACTCTGATGACCCCATTGCATTCTAGCTAGGGTGACAGAGTGAGACACTATCTAAAAAAAAAATAGTATAACAAAAATAATAATAAGAGACAACTTCTAAAATTCATAATGTATTGGTGGCAGCGGCAACATCTCCATTTTAAAGATGTGGAGATCAAGATAGAAAGTTAAATAACTTGCCAAAGGTTGTACAACTAGTAAAGAGAAAACATTTGATTTCCAAGCTACATCCAAATCTCTGTCCTTCATCACTATATTGCGTAGTATTTCTAAGCCTCAGCTTGCTTATCTATAAAAGAGGACGAGAGCATTATGCGCCTGGTCGTAATTAAAAGCAAGGACCAGACTTATCTTACTATAAACAATTTAAAAATGAACAAGTATTTCAGACGGTGGACAATAGGAAGAGCTGGACTGGGATTGATGAGCAGAGAAATAAAAATGGTGAGCCCTCTGCCCTGGGGCACATTCCAGACCAGCAGCCCGGCAGAGGATCCCTAAGTAGAGCCTGAGAGTTGCACTGAGTGAGGAGACACGGATTGGAGCCAGAGACTAAGTGGCTGTAGTTAACGGAGCACAGAACCAGAGAGAAAGGAGCCACCCAGCGAAAGACCTCAAAACAATTTGATAGGTAGCTTCGTGTCTGTTGATGATTGGACAGGAAGCTGTGAGCACACTCAGGATGAAACTCCGTGAGACCAGGCAAAGAACTGGAAGACACAACTGGATAGCTGTGTGCTGAAAATGTCTAGATCTCATACAGAGCAGAGAAGCATTCCCTGGTTGACCATATCCCAAAACCCCCATTGCTCGCCTTGTTTAATGACCCCAGAATGGTTACAGCTTCGCCGCAGTGCTACAACACTTACAGTGTGAAGATGACTCTAGACTGGGGCTAACACGGCTTAAGAGTAGCCTGGAAAGAAGTAAGCTAATCCACAAAATATTTAATAGACTTCCAGAGCAAAGTCTAACAATCTTTTATAAATATATCAAAATACAGCATAATAACAACTCAACAACATAAAATTCTAAATATCCATTATCCAATTTTATAAAATTATTTACATGCCCACACATAAGTAAATAATGAACCGTAACCATGAGAAAAATTAGTCAATAACAATAAACCCAATCAGAAATGATAAAAAGGATGGACACTAATGGACTAATTAGTTGTCCCATGGACAACTAATTCCATGAGTTTGCTATTATTATCTTGATTAAAAAAATAAAACAGCTAAAGACATTACAAAAAAGAAAACCTATAGGCTAACAGCCCTCATGAACAAAAACACTAAAACTATAAACTAAATATTAGCAAATTAAATCCAGCTCATTAAAAAATAATATGTGAGATTTACTCCAGGAATCAAAAGTTGTCTAATATTTGAAAATCAGTCATTGTGATTCAACATATTAACAGAATAAAGGAGAAACACCATATGCTTACCTATATAAATGTAGAAAAATCATTTGATTTGATGAAATTCAATATTTATGATACAATCTCTCATCAAACTAAGATTAAAAGGGAACTTCCTTAGTATGATTAGGCACAGTTATGAAAAACCTATAGGTAACTCTTACATAAATGATAAAAGTCTAAATACTTTCCCCTAAATTTAGAATAAAAGTAAGCACATTTACTCTTATCTCTTCTATTCAACATTGTTCTGGGGGAAGGGGGAGGGTTCTAGCCAATGCAATAATGCAAGAAAAAATATATAGATTGGAAAGGAAGATGAAAGGATCATGCATAAATCCTGTTACATCTATTTAAAGCTACTAGAACTAATAAGTGTATTATAGTTCCAGGATACAAGATCAATACACAAAATCCACTGGCATCTTTTGCTAGTAACAAAAAAAGAAAAAAAGAAGAAATTGAAAATAAAAACATACTGCCTAATATCAACAAATATAAAATATTTAGGAATAAATTTTACAAAATATGTGCACTTATTGTACACTTAAAACTGTGGAACTTCTGAGAGAAATTAAAAAACTATAGATCAAAGATTAAAAGACTCAATATTATTAAGATGTCACTTGTACTTAAGTTGATCTATAGT